ATGTTTCGGAAGAGTCAAAGGCCTTTGCACACAGCCCTTGGGGACTGGATGCTGGTCACAGTGACAGGCTGCGCCAACCAGCTGTTTCCATGCTTCACAGAATGGCTTGAGTGTTTGCTTCCAACGAGCCAGGTGCTCTTCTCAGGGCAGAAATTGGGGTCACAAATGGTCTTGGCAAATATACTTTCTTAGACGCTATTGCTTAGTTTGTTTTGGGGAGGGTGGGAGATGGGGGTAGGAAGGGGAAACCAGGGTCAACAGGGATCTGTGTGTGTGGCTGGGGAGCCACAAGTGTTTGGAAGACCCAACTCAGAACAATGTCAGGTTTCCACACACAAATGTAGACCTGGAACCTCCCAGCTTCTGAGGACAAGGTCCGGGCCAGCAGCAGCAGCTGCTGAGGGGCAGGAGCTGTCAGCTCCATCTTCTCCCCACGCCCAGCCTGAGCCGCCCGGCCTCCCAGGTTACAGTGAGGTCTCCCACCTCTGTCCGCTGTCCTGACTACCTCAGGAGCGGCATTGTTCCTGCTGCCCGCCTTCTCCCGGTGCTCCCACCTCTTTAATTTTCTAGCTGGATGGAAAATGTTCATTTTTAAAGAACTGTCATCAAGAGTAAAAAAGGACCTGTAACACAGAGCTCACAATGTATACAGTTAATTCCAAGTACTTTGGACAGGCCTCTCATCTGTCTGAAATCTTGTTTTCTTGGCATGTCTTCTGTTTGGCTCAAATAAACTCAAGTCAAGAAAAAAAAGGAAGGAAGGCAGGCAGGAAGGAAGGAAGGAAGGAAGGCAGGCAGGAAGGAAGGCAGGCAGGCACAAATGTTTTCCATTTAAGGAAGTTGGTGGGAGGAGCCTTCTGTGTTCAGGTCCCCAACCCCAGACAGTGTCAGGTGCAGGACCCTCTGACCCTGACACAACAGTGCCGCTCTAAGGCCTAAGCTCCTGGTCCCTGAAAAAGACCTCACCTCCTGCTTGGCTTTGGAACTCTCGGGTACCCACTCTCCTCCCCAGCTATCTACCTACAACTGACCTGGTAACGTAGGAAACTGTGGCCCTCTCCCCTCCCCAGGGCCTATCGTTCTTTGCATTGGAAGAACCACAGAAAGTACAGAATCATAGCACTCAGGGCTCTGAAGGGTCGTCATGATCGTCTCAATCAGTGATTTTCAAATTTCCCCAGAGAACCCCAGAGTTCTGCAGAGGGGTCTCCGATCTTGTCAAAGGGTTGGGGGAAAGGGCAGGGCTCGACGTTTTGCTGTCTTCACCCCTCTGTTCTATGATGGGTTTGTGCTCACAAATTCATCGCAGAAAAGGCTTCTGTTAACCAAAACTTTGAAAACCACTTTTATAGTCCAAACTTCCTTTGGGTGGCTAACTCCTGCTCCCTTACTCTGTTCCATGTCCCCGAGCCTCTGCTGCCCCCTCTCTCCCTCAGGCAGGTGCGTGGCCGGGGAGGAGCCAGAGCTAAGCCTCTGGCTTTTTGCTCGCACGGAGTCTGCCATGTCTGCCACCCTCACCCTTGCTGCTTCTCTTGTCCTAGTTTCTATTTCATTCTCAGGACTAAAAATATTTATTCAGTCAACAAATATTCTTGCACTGCTCTGAATACTCACCCATATATATATATTTTTTTAGCCCTACAGTTTTATTTTTTTAAATAAATTTTATTGATTTTTTACAGAGAGGAAGGGAGAGGGATAGAGAGTTAGAAATATCGATGAGAGAGAAACATCGATCAGATGCCTCTTGCACACCCCCCTACTGGGGATATGCCCACAACCAAAGTACATGCCCTTGACCAGAATCGAACCCGGGACCTTTCAGTCCAAAGGCTGACGCTCTATCCACTGAGCCAAACCAGTTTTGGCCTCACCCACATTTTGTTAAAAAAATTCTAAGTATGCCTTCTTGTTTCAAGGAGAATGTTAAACTTATTTTTATCATTCTAATTGCCAGGGGAGGTATATTAGATAGGACAGTGATGGTAATAAAGGAATAAGTAAGTGAATTAAAATGTTCTTTACTTTTCTTCTTTTTAAAAAATGTATATATTTTTAATTGATTTCTGAAAGGAAGGGAGAGGGAGAGATAGAATATTAATGATGAGCCGAAACCGGTTTGGCTCAAGGGATAGAGCGTCGGCTTGGGGACTGAAGGGTCCTGGGTTCGATTCCGGTCGAGGGCATGTACCTTGGTTGTGGGCATATCCCCAGTAGGGGGTGTGCAAGAGGCAGCTGATCGATGACTCTCTCTCATCAATGTTTCTAACTATCTCTCTCCCTTCCTATCTGTATAAAATCAATAAAATATATTTTTAAAAAGAGAACATTCATGATGAGAGCACATCATTGATCAGCTGCCTCCTGGGGACCGAGCCAGAAACCCAGGCATGTGACCAGGAAGCAAACCATGACCTCCTGGTTCATAGGTCGATACTCAACCACTGAGCCACACCAGTCAGGCTGTTCTTCACTTTTCTTACTTGTTATTCCTCTTAACTACCTGACTCTGAGGATTGGGGCAGGAAGGAAAGCAAGAATCAGAAATTCTTTCTCAGACATGGATGCACAGGTAATAATACTTATAATAATTACTAGAGGCCCGATGCACGAAATTCGTGCACTCAGGAGGGTCCCTCAGCCCGTCCTACACCCTCTCGCTGTCAGGGAGCCCTTGGGGGATGTCCAACTGATGGCTTAGGCCCACTCCCCTAAGCTGGCAGTCGGACATCTTTATCGCTGCTTTGGAGCGGGGAGAGGCTCCCGCCACTGCAGCTGTGCTCACCAGCTGTGAGCAGGCTTAGGGCTTCTGGCTGAGTGGCGCTCGCCACTCCTGCATCAAGAGCCTGCCCCTGGTGGTCAGTGCTTGTCATAGCAACCAGTCGTTCTGCCATTTGGTCGATTTGCATATTACCCTTTTATTATATAGGATTATTATATAGGATTATTGCACAGGTATTAACACTAATAATAATAATAATAATAATAAAAATGGCTGGCACTATTCTTAGCACTTTACATATAGTAATTCATTTATCTTCATAATTGCCCTACTCAGTGGTCGGCGCACTAATTAGTCAACAGAGCCAAATATCAACAGTACAACGATTAAAATGTCTTTTGAGAGCCAAATTTTAAAAACTTAAACTTCTAACGCCACTTCTTCAAAATAGACTCGCCCAGGCCGTGGTGTTTTGTGGAAGAGCCACACTCAAGGGGCCAAAGAGCTGCATGTGGCTTGTGAGCTGCAGTGTGCTGACCATGGCCCTACACTGAAGGTTCTGTTAGTACTCCACAGATGAGGAAACAGAAGCTCAGAGGAGTTAAGTAGTTTGCCCCATATAGTAGTTAACAGTGTCTCACAACTTGGAGCACTCCCTGGCATTTAAGGCCCTTCACAATCTATTTTTTAAAAATATTTTTAATTGATTTTTTTTTTTACAGAGAGGAAGGGAGAGGGATAGAGAATGAAAATTATTGCTGAGAGAGGAACATCGATCAGCTGCCTCCCGCACACCCTCCACTGGGGGCCTGCAACCAAGGTACATGCCCCTAACTGGAATTGAACCTGGGACCCTTCAGTCAGCAGGCTGATGCTGAGCAAAACTGGTTTCAGCTGTCCTTCACAATCTAAATGTGGTCCACATTTGCAGTCTCCTCTTTTGGATTCTACCTCTTGCTGCTCCCACAACAAACTCTCCTCATACCCGTGAGCATTCCTCATTTACTATCCCTCTATCCTGTCTTCCCCTCCTTAAACCTCTGAAGGATGCTTCCCCGCTCAAATGCAGAAAGTCTTCCCTGATCCCCACCAGGCCGGAATGCCTCTCTTCTTTTCTTTTCTTTTTCTTTTTCTTTTTTTTTAAATTTATTTATAATTTTTGTAGTTTTAAAAAAAAATATATATTTTATTGCTTTTTACAGAGAGGAAGAGAGAGGGATAGAGAGTTAGAAACATCGATGAGAGAGAATCATTGATCAGCTGCCTCTTGCACACCCCCTACTGGGGATGTGCCCGCAACCATGTTACATGCCCTTGACCGGAATCGAACCCGGGACCCTTCAGTCCGCAGACCGACGCTTTACCACTGAGCCAAACCGGTTTTGGCTGGAATGCCTCTCTTCTGCCACTGGATTCCCCCAAGCATTCCACCAGGCATCCCTGTGTGTGTGTGTGTGTGTGTGTGTGTGTGTGTGTGTGTGTGTCTGGCTTCTGCTGCTCTGAGCAATAAGCTTCCTGAGGGCAGGGCTCTGTCTCCGGGAATTCCTTGCACGGAACAGGACCACCAGGAATGTTGGTGAAACAGGCAGAAGGAGTGAACATCATTGGCAATCACCAGGGCAAGTATGAAAAAATAATCACTCCCTTCGTTCTCAGGTCCTTGGCTCTCCGGGGGGTTTGGGTTGGGAACAAGAAGTCAGCTCTAGATAAACGTCTGAGACTCTGGGGTCACTTGACTCGTGAGTGGTGGAGCCACATTCTCTAGGGGTCTCCTGGTCCTCTCCACTCCAGACCCTCCTCCTCCAATACCCCTAGGACATGGCACCCCCCCCTCCACTGAAGACCGCAGGAGCCCCGACCTCAGCAAAGCAGAGGACCCAGGAACACGGGAGTGGGGCGAATGGGGAAACTGGAGCTCCCACCCACTTCAGTCTTGATGTTCTGCCCTGATTACGCCTCCAATATGACTCCCTGAGAGAGGGGGGGCATGGAGCCGGAGGGAGCCGGGGAGAGAGGTGCCAGGGAGGACAGGGACAGGCAGGCAGAAGGAGAGGTGTGTGTGGCAGGAGATGGCAAGGGGTAAGGGTGGCTTGCTCTCGGCTGCTCTGGACTCTCCGCCAGGGCCGGGAAGGGTCCGAGTCTGGGCGGTGGAGGACAACTTCTGCCAGCAGCCCGCGGGTCCTGCCTGCCTCCCGCGCGCTGCGGCGCCCACCCCCAGGCCAGCGCTCCCGCCGGGGGACCCCTCGGCGCCCACCCCCACGCCCACCGGCCTCCTCACCTTCAGGACCTGAGGGAGCGATAGGCCGGAGGAGCCGGTCCGCGGGCTGGGTGGCGGGGAGGAGCTCTTCTCCCCACGCTAGCTGCGCCCCGGGTTCCGCAGCGCCCGCCCGGGCTGCGGCGCCATCAGCTGCTTCGAGGCTGCGGGGCGGTGGGGTCGGGGCTCCGGGGGCTCCGGGGCGCCGAAGGGGGGGTCCCGGGCTGCCTCCAGGCGTAAACACCCAGCAACGTGACCGGAACTGGCGAACGAGCAGTAGGGGGGAGCTGAGGGGGCGGGAGAGATCAGGGGAGGGGAGGGACCTGGGACTGGCGGGGAGGGACCATGGGCGGGGCCGGGGGGGCGGGGGGAAGGGAGGCTGGCGGCTCCCGGTCGGGAGAGGGGCGGGAGAACCCCGGAATCCCCAGGAGCCAGGTCTAAGGACCCCGAAGGGCCGCTGAAAACTCGAGGAGCTGGCTTTGGCTGGGATCTGGAAGGGAAACCTGGGGAACCCGCCTGCCGCCTGGCGATCCAGGGCGCGGCGGGCGGATCAGCACCGCGGACAGCGCCCAGGCAGGCAGGCAGGCAGGCAGGCCGGGATCCGCTGGGCCCGCTGCCTACTGCTCGGCATAGGAACCACAGACAGTGCCCCCGCTGGCCCAGGGAGGAGTTGGGTGGGAGGTGAGTTGACCAGGGGTCAGGAAACCTACCTTGGGCCTCGTTGGCAACAAAGCTGCCCCAGGCCTCTCACTAGCTGTATAACCTTGAGTGCATCACATCACTCACTCTCTGGGTCCCGGTTGATAAAACACTCTATGTGAAGGTCCGAAAAGCCCAGAGGAGATGCTTTAGAAACTGAAGTCCAGAACATTGGCATTGATCCTTTTTCACTGCACATGGAAGGCTTCTAAAACCGGGCTGCTTGGCTTCTAATTCTGGCTCTGTCAATACCTTCCTCCTCCCTGGGCCTCAGTCTCCTCATCCATAGAATGGGATAATGATGGTCTAGGCAGCTCATGAGGTCTTTGGGTTATTGTGAGGGTGAAATGAGTTTATACAGTATATGTAAAATGCTTCAAACATGCTGAGTTCTCATTAGCATCTGTGCTGGTGATGGCAAGGGACCAGGTGACGTTGTGTGAGTGGCTGGTGGCTCAGAGCTCATTTCAGGGAAAAGCACCATGGACTCTGCCAACAGGATCGTTTTGTGAGTGCATTCGAATGGGATTGTTATGACTAAGCCCCAAATGTTATTCTCCTTGATCTGTAAAGGCCTGGCCGCTAGGGCTGCCCTCGGGACTCTTACCACATCTTTGGCTGAAAAAATATTCATAGGTGAGACAACAAAAAGATATGCACAAATCACTTACAGAACCACTAAATAGATGAGCCTGCAGAGCTGAGAGATGGCCCTGTGAAGGCAGAGCTAGGGAATGGACTAGGTGGGGCAGGTGAACAATCAGTCAGTCAACACAGTTATATTGAGCAAGACTGACTGCATGGCACTCTACCTGAAGTTGTGTGGAGACCCAGAGATTCATTATAAACCATGGCGGTGATGACAATAAGAATTAAGATTTATCAAGTACTTTCTGTGTACCAGGCAATCTATTAACTATTGTTAAAACATCACCCTCCCCCATTTTCAGCATTAAACTTATAACAAAGTCAATGCAAACTAAAATGTATAAAAAGTGTACATCTTACCTCAGAAGTAACCATTATTTTGAGTCGAGCACTTTACACATTTCATCTCATTGAAACCCTATTGGAAATTTAACACCAGGCAGTTTGTAAGCAGCGGAGCCAGGATTCAAGTCCCAGTCCAGTCAAGGTCGAAGGTAAGCTTCATCAGGTCCCTCAGCGAAGAGATGAATCTACTTGTGGCAGAAAACACCCCTGAGCTTTACAGGAAGGTGATAGCCATGAAGACTAGTTAAGAGAGTGAGTTTGGGGTGACAGAGAAGGCCTTGGGGCTCCCTCCATCTCTTCATGATAGCTTGGAATACTGACTTTTTTTTACTCCTCACCCGGGAATATTCTTCCATTAATTTTTAGAGAAAGTGGAAGACAGAAAGACAGACAGAGAGAAATATCGATGTGAGAGAAGCACATCGATTGCTTGCCTCCTGCGTGCACCCTGACCAGGGCCCGGGCTGGGGAGGAGCCTGCAACTGAGGGACGTGCCCTTGACCAAAATCGAACCCAGGACCCTTAGGTCTGCAGGCCAACGCTCTGTCCACAGAACCAAACCAGCTAGGGCAGAAGACTGACTTTAAAAAAAATATATTTTTATTGATTTCAGAGAGGAAGGGAGAAAGAAATATAGCAAAATCAATTATAAGAGAGAATAATTGCTTGGCTGCCTCCTGCACAATTCTGGAGATTGAGCCTGCAGTCTGGGTATGTTCCTTGACCAGGAATAGAACTCTGATCTCCTGGTTCTTGGGTTGATGCTCAACCACTTGGCCACACCAGCTGGGCTCTTCCAGATTTTTCAATGAATATATGAATGTACTAGTTATATTTGGTAACATTTTTTCCTCTTAAATTTTTTTTAAAATTGAGATACAATGACATAATTTTAAGTGTATAACACAATGATTCGATATTTGTAATATCACTACAATAAGGCTTGCTAACATCCATTACTATACAGTTAAATATGTTTTTCTTGTGATCTGCTCTCTTAACAACTTTCAGTTATGCCAGATAGTATTATTAACTATAGTCACCATACACAACAAAATACATCTTGAGTTTTTCATGCCAATAAAGTCTTCTTTAGTAGCTGTATAATATCCCATCATATGGACTAGCTTCTTTAAAAAAAGTTTAAACGTTTTTAGTTGATTTTTTTAGAGAGAGAAAGGTAGAGAGAGAGAGAGAGAGAGAGAGAGAGAGAGAGAGAGGGAGGAGATATATTTGTTGTTCCATTTATTGGTTGATTCTTGTATGTGCCCCGACCAGGGCTGGAACCTGCAACCCTGGAGCATCAGGACAACAACCCAACCAACTAAACTACCCACCCGGCCAAATTAACTGATCTCCAATTTGACTTTTGTGTTGTTTCCCTTTTTATTCTATTGAAAACAAATGCTGCAGTGGATATTCTTGTACAGATATATCTCTTTTCATGTTTCTAATTATGCTCTTAGGATGAATTTCAAGGAGAGAAATCAAAAGACATGCACACTTGAAGGCTTTTCATCAGAGTGTCAAATGGCCGTGCACAAGGGTTGGACCAATTTATTCTCCAACCTCAGTCACAGTTAAGAGTGTCCACTTCCCTTCTCCATACAAACAAAGGTGGGGTAGTTAAAAAGCAATCAATGGGCCCAGCAGCGTGGCTCAGTGGTTGAGCGTCCACCTATGAACCAGGAGGTCATGTTTGATTCCCTGTCAGGAGACATGCCCGGATTATGAGCTCAACCCCCAATGTGGGGTGTACGGGAGGCAGCCAATCAACGATTCTCTCTCATCATTGATGTTTCTGTCTTCCTCACACTCTCTCTTTCTCTTTGAAATCAATAAAAATATATTCAAACAAAAAACAAATGAACAAAACAAAAAACAGCCCTGGCTGGTGTGGCTCAGTGGAAAGAGCGGCGGCCTTCGAACTGAAGGATCCCAGGTTTGATTCCAGTCAAGGGCACATGTCAAGGTTGCCGGCTTAATCCACAGTGGGGGGCGTGCAGGAGGCAGCCGATCAATGATTCTGTCTTATCATGGATGTTTCTATCTCCCCCTCTCTCTTTCTTTCTGAAATCAATAAAAATATATTAAAACGTTCACACAATCTATAGTTACAAATTAGACAAGTAAAAAACAGTATCACATTTAACTTTTCAAGTGTTGACCACTGGGAGGGCACCTATGGTCAAACTTACAAATGTCAGTAGCCTTTGGATTCCCCGTGCACACGCTTCCAGTGCTCCTGGCAATGGCCACAGACGCCAAGAAGAAGGCACACAGGTCCTCACACTGGGGCCAGGTTTTGTCCTCTCTGCACCAGTTTCCCTCTTGCAAAGGATGTGGGCTGCCCTGGTATTGGATGCAGGTGAACTGGAAGGACCATGTTCAGACAAATGTTCCTACTAATAAACGGTTCTAAAACTCAGCTCCTTCAAACCAGGCTTGACATGCATGGTCCCATGATGCCTTGGGCCAGGCGGGTCCCTGCTCTCCTGCAGGAATGACCGGGTTCCTGGGGTGAAGCTTGACTGAAGACACGAGAGGAGCTGGTCCTAGTATTGGCAGTGCGCCCCGCTAATATTGTCACCTTAAAATACTTTAACCAGTCTTCCTTTTAAGCATTTAGAGTGGTTTACTTTTTTTTTAAAAAAAAATATTTTATTGATTTTTTAAAGAGAGAAAGGGAGATGGATAGAGAGCTAGAAACATTGGTCAGCCGCCTCCTGCACAGCCCCCACCAGGGATGTGCTTGCAACCAAGGTACATGCCCTTGACCGGAATCGAACATGGGACCTTCAGTCCGCAGACCCACGCTCTATCCACGGAGCCAAACCAGTTTCGGCAAGAGTGGTTTAATTTTTTACGCATAACTTCCTAGGTGGGCAGAAGGGGTGTCAGGGAGTAAGGCAGAGCTGGGTTAGGAAGATCGCCTCCAGTCACTCAGCAAGTCAGGCGTCCCGCACCATGGAACTGGGAGAACCCGCCTCCTCACCTGGTGCACCGGACGTCTGCTCTGCTGCGCCCCCCGCCAGCGGGGCGAGGAGAGGGCAGGGCGAGGGCAGAATTTGGTCGTGCCGGGGCGGTGACCCAGCCCTGGTGGGATCCAGAGTCCGGGCGGGCGGCGCCCAGGGGCCCAGGGGGTGGGATGGGGTGGGGTGGGGTGGGGATTGGGGAGATGAGCGCAGAACGCGTCGCACAGCCCGGCTGCGGCCCGCCTCGCCTCGCGCCCGCCCCGCCCCGCTCGCCGGTCCCGCGCCGCCCCCCGCGCCGGCGAGCGCGCCCCGGGCACTGGCTGCGGCAGCCGTGCGGGGAGCGGGCGGCGGCGGGCGAGGCATGGCGGGCCGCGGGACGCCGGGGGAGAAACGCTGGCAGCTGGTGCGCTGGTGAGTGGGCGCCGGGGGTGGGGGCCCGGGGCAGCACCGAGAGGAGCGGGGCCGCAGGCGCAAAGTTTCTTCTCGGGCTGAGGCTTCGGGCGGCTTTAGGGAGAGGCGCGGGCTGCCCGCTCACCAGCATCCCGCGCCCCGGGTCCCCGCGCGCGCTCTGTGGCTTTCCAGGTAGTTAGGCGCTGGGACCCAGGACCAGGTCCCTGAAGGTCCCGGGGCCCCCTTCCACAGGCTCTTCGCCAGGGCTTCCTCCCCACCCCCCTCTGCTTTTCTATTTTTGCAATGGGGGACCCCGCCACCTGCATTCCTTCTGCTGCTCGGGGTCGGGCCAAGGACTTGTGCCCAGGAGAAGCGCTGCCACAGTCCTCAGCTCCCCTGTTTAAGGAGATGTCCTCGCCCCCTAAACCGGGACCCCTGAGAGTGGGCACTTTGGGGGTGGGGGCTTAGAGAAGGGGGCTTGGGAGGCTAGGGGAGAGGTCCCATTGCGGGGCGTGGTGGCCATCCCACCCCCCACCCCCCCCCCCCCCCGCCCTGCCCGGCGGGGGAATCGGGCCTGCGGGTGTCGGGTTACGGGACTGCAGGCTCAGAGGCTTTCAGACACATCGCCGCCCAGTCACCTGGGTTGGGCCCAGTATCCCCGCGTCCGGATGTGGAGGGCCGCTTTAGCCAGGGACCTGCCCCGGGCTTGGCGGGCTGAGACTGCAGGGTAGGCTGCTCTGCCCACCACATTCTCAAAGGAGACTGTCTGACTGGGACCCCTCCCCACCGCACATCATCCCACCCGCACCAGGGCCGGGAGACGTCTCGGAAGTAGCACACCAGACAGCTCTCACCGGTCACACTCTGTAGTGTGAAGACACAGCGACAACGATGTGATCATCCATAGTAGCAACCGAGCCTTCCGGAGCGCCTCCTGCTGGCTCCACCATAGGATCCAGGCTCTGACTTAGTTACTCTTCACAGTGAAACTCAGAGGGAGGTATCAGCACCCCCATTTTACAGATTAGGAAACCGGGGCTCAGAGAAGGAAAGTGGTTCGCCAGGGTCACCCAAGCAAGCAAGTAGCAGAGTCAGGTTTTGAACCCAGGTCTTGCTGAACGGAACCTTTGTTTTGCTTCCAGTCTGGCCACGCATCCAAGTGCACATGGTTAGAAAATCCCAGCATGTCAGAGCAGCCTGCTCACCCATTCCCCAACCTGGGAGGATCCCAACAATCAAAGTCCAGATATTCAACATTATTTATTTTTTAAAAATCTATTTTATTGATTTTTTTACAGAGAGGAAGGGAGAGAGATAGAGAGTTAGAAACATTGATGAGAGTCATCGATCAGCTGCCTCTTGCACACCCCCCACTGGGGATGTGCCTGCAACCAAGGTACATGTCCTTGACCGGAATCGAACCCGGGACCTTTCAGTCCCCAAGCTGATGCTCTATCCATTGAGCCAAACCGGTTTCGGCGATATTCAACATTATTATTCAGCAGTGGAACCACTCTTCAAAAGAAGCCCAGAATGCACAAATCAGATCAAGGTAGAGCTCATCTGTTTGAAGAGCTGGCAGTTACTTACTGTCCACTTTCTAAAAAGGAAGCGAAACCTCAGGACCCCAAGACTTCCCAGATTAAACTAAATTTGCTTAGTTTCATTCCTTCCCTCACTTCATGGAGGAAACAGGAAGAGTTTTAAAGGGTCAGGGCTTGGATTTCGGCTCTGACTCTCTCTGCCTGGTGATGCAGGGGTCATTGTTAGTGCCTCTGATTAGGTTTTGGGTCACCTCCCCATCCTCATATGAAAGCCTATTGCTTTGAGAAGGTCCTGAAAGAAGTGGCTTGAGTGGTGAGGCAGCCTGGCCAGGAGCATCCTGAAGGCAAGAAGCCCTCTGCACCCCACGGCATGCTCCCAACACGGTCAGCCTTGGCCCCTGGTCCCGGGATTTCAGGTTGAGTCAGTTGGCTCAGCTCAAACTGGCTGAAGAGAAAAAGGGAAATTGTTGGCTTACAGAACGGAAAACTCCAGGAACTCTCCATGCTTCAGGCATAACTGCATCCAGGTGCTCAAATAATAGCACCAAATAACACTCTACTCTTTGTCTTTCTGTTCCACTTAAAAATATATATTTTTATTGTCTTCAAAGAGGAAGGGAGAGGGAGAGATAAAAATATCAATGATGAGAGAGAATCATTGAATGGCTGCCTCCTGCATGCCCCACAGTGGGGATGGAGCCTGCAACCCGGGCATGTACCCTTGGCTGGAATCAAACCCAGAACCTTCAGTCTGGAGGTCGATGTTCTACCCATTGGGCAAAACCAGCTAGGACCCTCTGTTCCACTTTCATTCCCGTGTGGAGGCGAGTGGCTGTCAGCTGCAGGCAGCCCCCAGGTTAGTGACCTCTTCTTTTTGAGTGGTTCCAGCCAAAGTCTCAGGATGTCATCTCTTTGGCAAGAGTTGAGTCACGTGGATATCCCTGAGGCAATCGCTGTGGTCAGGGTGATGGACCGCTCAGATTGGCCAGGCAGGGTCACATGTCCACCCGTGGAGCTGGGGCTGCAGTCAGCTCCATCCAAACCACAGAGCCTCTGAGTGGGAGAGAAGATGAGGAATGGTGAGTTGTTGGGCAAGAAAAACAAGTCATGCAAACATGCAATAAAGTTAAAAGGTAAACTAGAAGCTAGATAACAATATTCCCATATAGCAGGCTAAATGTCTATATGCTAAATGTAAGAAGCACTCTTAAAAGAAAATAAAAAAAAAATACTGCAGGCTGCTTGGTTTGGACAACAGAAATTTACTTTCTCATAGTTCTGGAGGCTGGAAGTCTAAGATCAGCATGCCAGCATGCTAAGGTTCTGGGGAGGCCTCTCTTCCTGGCTTGCAGGGAGCTGCCTTCCCATGTGTCCTCTCATGATAAGGAGAGAGCACACAAGCTCTCTGGTGTCTCTCTCTTTAAAAAAAAAAAAAATATTGCCAGGACCGGTTTGGCTCAATGGATAGAGCGTCGGCTTGGGGACTGAAGGGCCCTGGGTTCGATTCCGGTCAGGGGCATGTACCTTGGTTGCGGGCATATCCCCAGTGCGGGGTGTGCAAGAGGCAGCTGATCGATGACTCTCTCTCATTGATGTTTCTAACTCTCTATCTCTCTCCCTTCCTCTCTGTACAAAAATCAATAAAATATATTAAAAAAATATTTTTATTGATTTCAGAGAGGAAGGAAGAGTGAGGTAGAAATATCCATGATGAGAGAGAATCATGGACCGGCTTCCTCCTGCAAGTCCCTCACTGGGAATTGAGCCCACAACCCAGGCATGTGCCCTTGACCGGGATGGAACCTGGGACCTTTCAGTTTGGAGGATGACGCTCTATCCACTGAGCCAAACGGGCTAGGGCTCTGGTGTCTCTTTTTATAAGGACACTAATCCTGTTGAGCCAGGGAGCTACCTAACCTTAATTTGTTCCAAAAAGGGCCTATTTCCAAATACAGTCACACGGGGTGGGGGTAAGGGGACTTAAGGCTTCAACATATGAATTGGGGGAGGGCAGGGACAAGGACAAACATCAATCAGTCTCTAATGCTTACCAAGAAAAACACGGGAGTGTAAGTGGTGAATGATTCAAGCTTAATACCTGAAAGCTGGTGGATGCTGCTCAGGATCTCATCTGGGAGAATAATGTCTGAACAGGAAGCAAGGGAGCCAACTTTGGAGCTAAGTGTGGGGCATCTGGCAGAAATGGCAGACACAAGGAGCAGGGATTTCCCTCCCTACAGCAGTTTAGGAGTCTAGGGGGCTGTGCAAGACTGGTGTTAGACAGTGCCACCTTGTGGTGCAGAGATGCAAGAGCAAGAGAAGGTAGTTGCAGTTTTCTTAGAATCGGGTCCATATTTCAGACTTAAGGTAAGGTTCTGGGGATTTGGAAAATTCAAAAGCAAGATATTAAGCTTTGGACTTTGAGGGGAGGAAGGTTTCAAGTGATTAATTAGAAAAAAGATGGCCATGCCCTGACTGGTTTGGCTCAGTGGATAGAACATCGGCCTGCGGACTCAAGGGTCCCAGGTTCGATTCCGGTCAAGGGCATGTACCTTGTTTGTGGGCATATACCCAGTAGGGAGTGTGCAGGAGGCAGCTGATCGATGTTTCTCTCTCATCGATGTTTCTCTCTTTCCCTCTCCCCTCTTCTCTGGAAAATCAATGAAATATATATATATATACAAAATATATATATATATATATATATATATATATATATATATATATATATATATATATATGGCCAGTTTCTCATCCTAAACTATTATAGGGCATACTAGTGTCACAGGAAATGAATGTATATGCATACATATTAATTTTTGGTATTAATGATATTTTTTTAGCTGTTCAAATTGGCCAACCTTTTTATATATTCACGGTACATAAGAGCACAGGCACACCTAAATGCCACAAACATAGGGCAAGACTTTAGTGGTTCTCTCATAAAACAAAATGCTTCACATGCTTTTTAAATGTTTAAAAAATTGATTTTAGAGGTAGAGGAAAGGAGAAGGAAAAAGAGAAACATCCATGAGAGAGAAACATTGATCAGCTGCCTCTTGCATGCCTGGTACTGGGGATTGAGTCTGCAACCCAGGGCATGTGCCTTGACTGGGAATCGAACTGGTGACCTTTTGGTGCCTGGGATGATGCTCAACCAACTGAGCCACACCTACCAGGGCTCACGTGCTTTTTAAAAGTGAAAAGCCAAGACAGAACCTTTGTCTAAGTAAGGTCTAAGTGTGGCAACCAATTACCATGTTTGCATTTGTGGGAGAATGGAGGTCTTTTTTTTTTTTTTTTTTTTTTTTTTTTAAGTAGTGGTTTTAAACAACAATGGGTTACCACTATACACCTGCCAGAATGGCCAAATTCTGGAACACTGATGACTCCAAGTGTTAGCGAGGATGTGGAGCAACAGGAGCTCTCAAAGATCGTTGGTGTGAGTAACCATGGTGTTGTCGCTTTGGAGGACAG